TAACCAACTCTTTTCTTCTAGTGAGAAGAGAAAATGTATGGAGTGGTCTAGCTTCCCCTGCACATTTTGCAGAAAGCTCATGGGTCTTGACTCACCTCATCTGTAACTATAAACTTGCCCTACTGTATATTTAGTTACAGTGGTTTTTCTCAAACACTGAATTCTATTCATGCCTGGGAGAAAGAGAAACAGGGTGATTAGGATCGAAAGCACAAAGATTGAGCTAGTGACTGACTAAAGTGATTCAGTCAGAGTACCACAGAGGCTGTGACTGGCAGTGCATGGTATTCTCTGGTGTCTCTGAACATCACCCGCCCTTGCTTGAGTGATATCTTTGTGCATTTTCCTGGGAGAAATGCGAAGGGGAAAGTGGAAGGCAGATCTAAAAATGTCTTTGTGACTAGGTATGTCTGGTGTGGCTTCTGTTGCCAAATAACTTTCTAACACAGATATCACGTTGACTTGTGAAACTAAACTGAGCTCTGGGGATTGCTTGGGGGACCTCTGGTGGAGGTCAGCACAGCATCACCAACAAAGAGAACTTTTTTGGGCATATAGGGTGATTTATGTGATGGAAAGCTGTGTTGGCTACCAGATTTAACCTATAATAAGCTTTGCAAAGAAAGTTCCTTGGCTTCCTGAAATTGAACCATTGGTACCTCTATCTTACTTTGCATATGTGTATGTGTGGGTGGATATAAGTCATGAAACACAAATGAAAGACCTCCAGTGGTGGCTTCTAACAGCACCACTAATCTGATAACTCTGGACATTTTCCCTCTCTTCACACTTCGTTTCTTCCTACCTGTAACTCTTCTTCCCTCTCTGTCCATAGTTCTCTCAGAGCGCTTTTATTGTTAATAGTCAAATAGTCAACACACATTAGCTACATGTTGATTTACATTAATATTGAATAGAAACTTGAGTTCCTCATTTACTTTAGCTATATTTAAAGTGCTCAATCAGTAGCCACATGTGGCCAGTAAAAATTATAGGATATTTCTATAACTGCAGAAAATTTCATTGGACAGTACTGTGTCTAGAGAGTGACAGTGGAAAAAGTGCCATCCTGTTGATCTTTTCACTATATACTTAAATATGAAGAAATCTTTTTTACATTGTTTACAGTTTTGTAAAGTTTTTTTCCTTGAAACAATGGTTAGCCCATCCGGGAGGTACTAGTCAGAACATAGGCCTTGAATAATGTCTAAAACCCAAGTCCTGCCATTCTGCTTTGTTTTCACATGTATCTGAAGAGCAGCATTTTCTTAGATTGATACTTTTGGAACTGGTTACACCTGTAACCTCCTTTTCATCTTTTAATTCAAAGTTAAGGGTGTATTGTTGTGTTTATTAAATTCAAAAGTTTTATTCTATTCCAGTTTTAGTGTCTGCAAATGAAATAAATAAGGTTTATACAGCTTAATTTGCCATATAATTTCTCAACTTGTACCTGTATTCCCTTTCTTCATAGCAACCCCACATCCTCCCAGAAATGTCACATACACACAAATAGGCTTTATTAATTTTTTTTAAAAATCTGCATTAATTTGGAAAATCCTTAAATATATGTTTTAAATTTCTTAAAATGTTTATTGCATCGTGAGGACATTATGCTAAGTGAAATAAGTAATCACAAGAAGACCTTGTAGGATTCCACTTGTATGAGATACCTAGTATGGTCAAACTCACAAAGTAGAAGGGATATGCCAGGGGTGTGGGTGGAGGAGTGAAATGGGAACTTGTTTTGTAATGGGTATAGTTCCAGTTTTGCAAGATAGAGACTGGTTGTACAACTTTGAATATACTTAAAACTATTGAACTGAACTGTGCATTCAAATATGTTTAAGATGGCAAATATCATGTTATGCATATTTACTATAAGTAAAAACAAAGTGATATAAACCTGGTTCTTACAACTTACTGGTTTCTTTGAGTGTCGTGGCTATTTTTGGCCCTTCGCAATTTCTTCTTTATTTTATTAAAAATTCATTTTTTCTCAGGCCTCCCTGGTGGCCTAGGGGTTGGGTCTCAGCACTGTCACCGCTATAGCTTGAGTTTGATCCCCAGCCAGGGAGCAACCCACATGGCGCAGCAGACCTCTCATGTCTTGCCTGCTGCTCCCCTCAGCAGTGTATTTCAGTAGATCTGCTTGTTCTGCACCCCACCTCTGACCTACACCCCAGTTCTTTTTTTTTAACGATTTATTCATTTATGTGTACAAAAACTGGGGTGTAGGCCAGAGGTGCAGGGGGTGAGAGGATTCACCAGAGACAGAGTGGGAAGCAGAACAGGCAAATCTACTGAAATACACTGCTGAGGGGAGCAGTAGGTGGGCAAGGCAGGAGAGGTCTGCTGTGCCATGTGGGTAGCTCCCTGCCCGGCGGGGGATCGAACTCGTGCTGCAGTGGCTGCCAGTAGTTTGATGGTGCTGTGTCTTTAACCCCTGCACCACCAGGGAGGCCCTACATCCCAGTTCTTACACACACACACACACACACACACACACACACACACACAATTTTTCTCATACCATCTACCCCTTTGACCCTTTTCCCAAGCCCCTTCCCTCTTAATATCAGAAACTTCGCTTTGGTTATATCAATGTTAGTTTGTAATTATTTTGCTCTGTCGGCATTTGCATTGACCCCTCATTTTGTCCAATGTGTGGAACTGTCTACTATTTGTCTTTATCTTTCTGACCTGCTTTGCTGCACATAATTCCATCAAATTCCTTCCATTTTGATATAAATGCAATATTCATTATGTGGCTATACCACATCTTTAATCCTCCATCATAGACTCTTAGGTTGTTTCAGAATCCTAGCTATTGTAAATAATGCTGCAATAAACATGTGGGGCATAAAACTTTTGGAATTGATGGATTCATATTCTTCAGATAGAGACCCAAAAATGAGATTACTGCATCATATGGTGTATCATTTTCAGGGTTTTTTGTTTTTTTTAAGGTAGGTCCAGATCGCTTTCCACAATGGCTGCACGAGTTTACATTTCCATCAGCAGTGCATCAGGGTTCCTCTTTCTCCATTCCTCTCCAGCACTTGTTAATGAAGTCTTTTTTAATGCATGCCAGTCTCACAGTTGTGAGATTGTATCTCATTGTGGTTTTGAAAACTACCCCCTTACTAAAAGTGATGATGAACATTTTCCACATCTCGGGTGGTCCTCTGTATATCCCCTTTGGTAGATATATATCCTCTCATGTGTAAATGCCCAATCAGACAGGGTTGGCCTGGAGCAGGGTCACAAATCTTTGGTACCTTCTGGCAGAGAAAGGGGCAGAAGGGGCCAGGCAAGCCTGGGACAAAAAGCAAAATCAAAGTACAAATCAAGATAACAGCTGCTATTGTCAGTCTCCCTGCCTCTCTCACCCACATCCCTTCCAATTGTCTTTCCATATTTCTGCTCCATATGTTTCCTTCCATGTCCCCCAAGTCCCTGGTACAAATCCGAAGCTGAGAAGCAAGCACACCCTCCTTCGCATATCTCTCTGCGCCATGTGTCTCTAGCCTCTGTCACCCCTTCAGGTTTTCTATAGCTGCCCCTGGCCATTCAGCCCTGCCCTTCTTTAGGTGGGAAGGGAACCTGGAACTTCCCCTTTTAATGGCGATTCCTCTGTTACAGTAGCATCCCAGTACAGTAACCCTCTGGAGGGCCATGTTGCTCACAGGCTTGGCCCCTACTCCAGTCTTTTTCTATCACCAGTCCTTTTTTCAAACATGCATGACTACACTGAGAGTTTCTTACTAGGAAGATTGTCAGTGCTACCACATTAAGGAATAACTGGAATGAGTGTTAACTGGAGAGCGTTGGAGAAGAGTGCTTCATGTTTCTCAGTACTAACACCAAGGAAGAAAATGTCGGCATCTGTGCTTGGCAGTTCATGTAGTGTATTGCAGAATAGGAGATACAAGAATCCGACTAGTTTTCCGTGGAAGAGCTGTTAACAACAAGAATTGTGTGGTGAGGGATCTGCACACGACTCTTATGTATGTCTGTCTGATCAAGTACAAAGGGAATTTTGTCTCTGCAGCCTAATCCCTATAGTGTGACCCCATCAGCTCCTTTCCCAAATAGAGTTCATCCATCACACACACTTATAAGTAGACAGTATATCGTAATCTTTTTTAAATGCCTTCCTTTTTGCTATGAGATGTTTAGACTTGCTTGTCCCTCTGCTTTGAACAAAACAATGTGGGCTTCTACTGTGTCAGTGTTCTCCTCCTTTGCGGGAGAAGGCTCTGTGCTCATGGAAGATGATGAGGGGGATACAGGGAAGAGACTGAGTAGGCTCTTCTCAAGCCCTAGCTCCCGCCCTCTCCCTCCCTACCAGGACATTTGTTGGAACAATGAGACACTTTATTTTCCAAATGTAATCTTTTGTACAATGGTGCCCAGCAGTTAAATTCTTAAGGAAGGAATTCTGTCCCTTTTTCTACCTAGAAGTATGACAAAAACCCTACGGCCACCTTCCTCTGAAAGCAAATTTATAACTGAATGGAGAATGGTAAGGAGCATTTTAGTTTTGGTTTTTGCCTTCTTCAGAAGGGATAATGTGTGGTCATATATATGCTTTTCCAGAAGTGAAGTAGGTCCACAGTGCTCCACTAATACATACAGACTTGATGAATTTTATGTATCCTATTTGTTGGCGCGAATTGGGAATTTGTAATTATTGAAGGTAATGTAAGAAAGTAGGTATTCTCATCAGCCAATCAAATATTTGTAGCTGTAACTTAACCCTGTCTTGTACTCCATTGTAGTATAAATGAATCACTGAATTACTTCCGTGTACAAGGGAAATTGCCTATATGTACTTGATTTTGAACCAAAGGGGCCCATACATTAAAGGAATTGCAGTTGAAACTTTCCACAGAGAAACCATAACTCTTTAAGGAAGCTTGGAAATAATCCTAGGATTGATTTAACTTCTCACAAAGCTTTTTAAATTACTTACATCCTTTTTTTTTTAATTTTAGATTCAGCCCTATGAAAAGATAAAGGCCAGGGGCCTACCTGATAATATATCTTCTGTATTGAACAAGCTGGTAGTGGTGAAACTCAATGGTGGTTTGGGAACCAGCATGGGCTGCAAAGGTCCCAAAAGTCTGATTGGTGTGAGGAATGAGAATACCTTTTTGGATCTGACTGTTCAGCAAATTGAAGTGAGTAACATTTAGTTTTTCTCAACACTTGTTTATAGGTTATTAAAAATGTTACCTTATAAAATAACAGATGTGGATTTGAACCAATCATCAGTCTTTAGTTTATTAGTACATAAAATATAAAAAAGTTTGCTGTTCCTAAGGGTAAATCCTTGGGTTATGTTAAAGTTTCTGATCTTTAAATGACATTTGTAGTTGCTAATATCTCTGGATATATTTGGATTCTTCTTTGTCCCAACTACTCCGCCTTCCTTTCTTTTTAGTGGCAGCCTTCATCACAGTTGGGATGATCTAGTCTTATTAACCCCTTTTGAGAGGCTGGTGAGAATTAAATATACCTGGTTGTATGTGTGGATACGAAGAACTGTTCTTGACTTTTCCCTTATGATGAAATCAATAATGAAAGATCATAAACTCTTCAGGAGCAGTGGCCCTGTCTTTTTCTTTTCTTTCTTTTTGTATTTACAAGTTAATTTTTTTTAAAAGATTTATTTATGTATACAAGAACTGGGGTACAGGCCAGACGTGCAGGAACATGAGAGGACTCACCAGAGACAAAGTGGGGAACAGAACAGGCAGACTGACTGAAACACACTGCTGAGGGGAGTAGCGGGCGAGACAGGAGCGGTCTGCTTGCCATGTGGGTTGCTCCGAGGCCGGTGGGGATCGAACCGGCACTGCAGAGGCTGCGGACAGCATCACAGCACTGCGCTCAACCACCTGCACCACCAGGGAGGCCCCTACAAGTTAATTTTGAAAAAATGACAATAGATTATTTTAGTCTTTCCCAAAGAATATAAACAGAATAATCACTAAGAAAACTATAGGGCAAATTTGGCCCTTTTTCATCCTTTATCTCTGGTGTCTAATACAGTACTGACAGTCACAACAATAACACTTAACTTTATCCAGCAGTCCTGTACACCAAGTATTACTCTGAGCTTTTTACATGAGTTGACTCATTTGTTTCTGGCAACAACTCTGTAAGATAAGTACTTTTATCTTCTCCATTATATATAGCTGAGAAACCAAAGTATAAAGAGGTTGAGTTACTTACCCAAGGTCCCTTAGCTAGTTGGTACAGCATCATACTTTGAACACAGTCCATTCTGTCTTCTGTGACCTTGTTTTGTTCCCAGTCTGTGTTGCGTCATAGCTCTTCCTATTGATTGTTTAAGATTTTACTTGGGTTCTGATTACAGTTTTTGACATTAATCCTGAGAATAGAGAGCCTTGTCTTTATGACATTTCTATTTTCATCTCCACATTCCTCTGGACACAGAGTAAATGCTTAGGCAGCACTTGCCACCCAGAAAGGACCCACTAAGGGTTACTATGACTGGGCACATAACTTCCAAGTCAGGCTGTGGGATGGGGGCAGGAGCTTCTCAGCTCTGCCACTGGACCTCAGATTAGCCATCTGTAAAATGCAGATAATAACAATTTCTCTCTTGTAGAGTTGTGATTTAATGAGCAAGTGCATGGTGAATTGCTTAGAAGAATGTCTGTTTATGCTAATTTATTTATTTCAAATCTATATTTCAAATCTGTATTTTTTGCTTTATGTAGATGAAGTTTTGGACATTTTATGATTAACTATTAAGAGTTAGTCTTATACTTTTAAGTAAAAGATATGCAAGTCTTGGTAATCTGATTGTCAATTTCCTCCCTAGCATTTGAACAAAACCTATAATACAGATGTTCCTCTTGTTCTAATGAACTCTTTCAATACGGATGAAGATACAAAGAAAATACTACAAAAGTACAATCATTGTCGTGTGAAAATCTACACTTTTAATCAAAGCAGGTACAAGGAGTAAAAAAACTTTGATCATGTTACTCCTGAAGGAAAGAACAAATTTGTTTTGTTAAACAGAGCAGCATGTGCCAAAATCTAATGTTTGTGTTTAAAGGCTGAACATTTGTTAATACATATGTGATTGTTATAATCATTCTGTGATTCTGTAACTTCTAGTTCTTAAAAAGAAAATCTGCTTGGAATTCTGTTACGTATACAGAATAATTGAGGATAGCTGAGGTTCCGGCTTTCTAAGGGCATATTTGGAATCCAGATGGGTCTTTGAAGTCCTCCTGTAGGCTATAACATTAATAACCTTCTTTTCTATGGGAAGTTATCTCAACATTCTTAGTAGAGTTGGAGGAAAATCAACAAATTCTACTGAAAAATCATTTACTTTAGGGAAGAGGAGTGTAAGTAGAATTCAGATGATGAATGGTGATGAAGCTCAGGCGACTTGGGAGAAAAGGCTTCCATGTCAGAATAGACACGACCTATATGAGCTCGTATAGAGGGCTAGTTCTGAAGTTGTACCACTAGTTATATTTTTCTTTTAAACCTATTTTTCCATGGGCACTTTCTTATGCTGTAGGTGCTCTGCCTCTGTTTTCTGGTTGGTCTTTAGCCTGTTCTGTGCTAGCTCTTCTGTGCTCCTACACATGTTCTCATGAGTGATAGGCAGCAAATGTCCCTGAGCATTAGCCTGCTGCTAGTTTCTTGGGAAAGAAAGAGCACCACCGTCTGTAGGGATGCACACCTTTTCCTAAATAGGTTTTTAAGGGAAAAAAACCAAACCCCAAACCAAATAAATCTGAGAAAATTTACTTAATATATTCCTCTTCTTGCAGAGCCATAAAACATACTAACATCTTAAAATATGAGGTGTTTTCCCATATACATGACCATGGAAAACTCTCATTTGCAGTAAATACCACTATCTAGAAAACAGATTTTTGGCAATATAGATGAGAGATTTTCTTAAATGGATTTACATATGACTAAGTAACTTACTATTGAAAGACTGAAAAGGAGAAAAATTTAATTTAAATATATTGTTTTACTTGAAGGTCTGAGATACTCTCCAGAGTTGATGTTGAAAATAACTGGGGTTTTTTGTTGTTTTTTTTAAGGTACCCAAGGATTAATAAAGAATCTTTACTGCCAGTAGCAAAGGATGTATCTTACTCAGGGGAGAATACAGAAGCTTGGTACCCCCCAGGTCATGGTGATATTTATGCCAGTTTCTACAATTCTGGTTTGCTTGACACATTTATAGGAGAAGGCAAAGAGTATATTTTTGTGTCTAACATCGATAATCTGGGTGCCACCGTGGATCTTTATATTCTTAATCATCTAATGAACCCACCCAATGGAAAACGCTGTGAATTTGTCATGGAAGTCACAAATAAAACACGTGCAGATGTAAAGGTAAATAAATACTGAGAAGGAAGCAGTTTGGAGATAAACATCTATACAGTCATTCATGTTATATAGTTCAGACACTTGTATTGAAAAGTTTCTATGTTAAGAGACACATCTATCCACTTGATGACATCATATAAGATGGAGTGGGATAGTGTTCTATAGAGTACCCTAGTTTCCATTGGATATAAGTGTGTACATAAATTCAGATTTACTAGTATTAAAAATCTTTATTTTTTAAAATAATCCATATGGGTAATTTTAACTGAATACACTTCCACATGTAGTTATGAACTAAATCTGAAGCATGTGAAAACATTGTGAGGTTTGGTCAAACCTTAATATTCTTCTAGTTTGTTACTTAAATGTTTTTATTTCACTGCCCAACTAATGGAATTTTCTGTATTTTTTAATCACTGTAATATCTCTGCAGTGCAAAAAAAGTGTCAGTTGTTTGGTGCAAAGCAAAAATTTATTTTTTTTAATCTTGCATGTTTTATGGTGATGACATTTGGTACACAAGATTTTACAACCTACCCATGGAAAGTAAGAGCAATAGGGTGTATAATACTAAAGTGGTTAGTTCCTGGGCTGGGTTCTCTGCAAATGTCCCCTTCACATGAATGATTGCTCCCCCGCCCTCCACTGCCATGGCCTTGTGCCTATAAGAACATCTTCAGGCTGAGGCTACTCAGGAGCCACTTCTTGTCCACTGTGCCTTTGTCTTCTGTCCACTGTGCCTGTTCTCCCTTTGTCCTACTGCCAGTCAGAGGGGGTCTAAGAGGGAAGACTAGTGGTGAAAGTATGCTGTTTCTCACTCCCACTGCTTTTGTATTATGGACAAGAGGGTAGATAGGCAGCAGAAAGCCATAGACAACCTGAATTATTCTTTTCTTTGGTTCTACCTTCAAACATTCATTGCCAATGCTTATTTCTGGAGGATTTCATCTTTAGTTTTCTTTTCTTTTAACTTTCACAGACTACAAACAATGTGGTATGGTTGTGATTGGGAGAAGTTGGGGGCACACATTCACTTTTACATACTTTTCTAGGGTGGGACACTCACTCAGTATGAAGGCAAACTGAGATTGGTGGAAATTGCTCAAGTGCCAAAAGCACATGTGGATGAGTTCAAGTCTGTATCAAAATTCAAAATATTCAACACAAACAATCTATGGATCTCTCTTGCAGCAGTTAAAAGACTGCAGGAGCAGAATGCTATCGACATGGAAATCATTGTTAATCCAAAGGTAAGCCAAAGTTTTGGCCCATTTGACTCCCTTGTTCCTAAGATCATAGGAGGCTACACACAGACCCACTGCCCACTCCAGCCAGTCTACTCTGTTGGTTTCTCCTTTTTGCCTATTCAGATTCTCCAGGTTTTAGCCCTGTTTGTCAGAAGACTCTTTAGTATGCCAACCACGGTGCCCTTACTTGACCCTGGGCTGTGGCAGAGGCAAGAGGACTGAATAGAAAAGTAAAAGAATATCTCAGTCTTAGTTATAGGCACTTTGCATGAATTTTCAGAATCTTTGGTTTTTTTATTGTAAAATAGAAATATTACTGAGCAAAAGAGTTATGATACTGAATAAAGTTCAAGCGCCTGGCATATGACAGGTGCTTGATAAATGTTAGATTTCAAAATTGTTTCCTTCAATAGATCTGAAACCACTCCCCAAACATTAACCAGCCCATATGGAATTAAGTTGTATGTACCTAAAACCTGTTTCTCTCTCCCCCCTCATCCCTTTCCTGTAGACTTTGGATGGAGGCCTGAATGTCATTCAGTTAGAAACTGCTGTTGGAGCCGCCATTAAAAGTTTTGAGAACTCTCTAGGTATTAATGTTCCTAGGAGCCGTTTTCTGCCTGTCAAAACCACATCAGATCTTTTACTTGTGATGTCAAACCTCTACAGCCTTAATGCAGGATCTCTGACAATGAGTGAAAAACGGGAATTTCCTACAGTGCCCTTAGTTAAATTAGGAAGTTCTTTTACAAAGGTATGTAATTATAAAGCTGTGATATCTACATGAATTTGTATTTCTTAAGTGTGTAATTATAAAGAAATGATAGACATGTGAATTGGAGGCTAATTACAGCTCCACTACTAACCTTTGATGTCTTTTAAAAGGGAATTGACCATGGAAGAAAAAGATGTGGCTCACTTTTGAAACCTGACTGTATAGGGAACAATGTTTACATCTGGGGATGTTTTATGTATTTTCTAAGACCAGCACTGCTTTCATCAGTGGAAGAATTTTCTGGTCTAGCAAGTATTTATTGAGCCCCTTCCATGATCTGGGCTGTGTTTTAGATGCTATATTTTTAACAGTAAATTAAGCAGACTAAAATTCTTACCTTCAAGGATATCTTAGTGGGAAAAGACAGTAATATAAATAAATGAAATGTACAGTGTGCCAAGTGATATAAAATGGAAAATAAAACAAAAATAGGGAATGTGTAAGTGGGGTGGTAGAGGTGGTAGTGTAATTCTACATGGGGTGGCCAGTGAACGGCCTTACTGAGAAATTGAGTTCACCAGTTGGGCAGAAAGTGTTCCAGACAGAAGGCATGGCTAGTAAAACCCAACCCTAACATAGTAAGTGGAGTCCAAGTAACTTAGTCAAAATTCAGTGAAATGAATTTTGGGAGCCATTGTGGCTGGCTTGTAAGGTCCTACTAGCCATCCACGTCTACTTCTGGTCGTGGTTTAGCGCCATCTGGTGGGGATGTGTGTACTGCCTTACATATTAATGGGGGATGATTCTGGGTCCTACGACTGGGCTGAGACTTGTAAGACAGCATCAGGCATTTTAGGAATCTCCCTGTTCTGCGGTGCCTCTCTCATTAACCTGGTAGGCAAGGAAAATACTGGCATAGAAGTACCCATTGGCTTCATACAACCTGAGGTGGAATGGGCAATTGTTTTTCTACCCAGCGTCACTCTCCTTTCACTTCCTTCTCATTCTTCATAGCCTCTTCCACACCCTACAAGAGTTAAGAACTTTATCTGCCCCAATGTGAGGTGGCTGAGTAGGCCAATGGCTAGTTGCTCCGAGGAAGAACATTTTGGGGACATTAAAAAGCAGTGTGGCTGGAGCAGGTGAGGGGGTAGGGATAATTGATCAGAAAGCAGGTGAGGGGGCAGAGATAATTGATTATGCAGAACATTGTGAGTATTGGGAGTGGGGTTTTTTCCTGATAAGGAAGCTACCATTGGAGAGCTGTGAACAGAGATGAAAGTTATACCTATAGGATTTGCTGTTGGAAAAGACAGGAGGGAAAGTTAAGGAGAAAGGAGTAAGGCTATCTCAAAGTTTTAGGCCTGTGCACCAGAAAGCCTGGAATTGCCATTTATTATATTAAGATGAGGGAATGCTTGAATAGAGTAGGTTGGGAATTAAGTTTTGCAGGTACTCTACTTATTATTGTAGAAGTTGACTCTAGAGTCTGGAGCACAGAACAAAGATTCAGGTGAGATTGGTAATTTGAAAATTGTTAGTTTATACCTGGCTTGCAAACCCTTAAAGACCACCTGAGGAGTGAGTGGCACTCACTGGAAATCCAGAATGGAGCCCCTGAGGTACTCCAGTGTCTAGGGAGAAAAGGATGAGTTAGAAGATGTGGCAAAGATGACAGAGGAGTTGCAGGTGAGAAATTGGGTAGGAAACTATGAATGTGTCTGTCCTGAAAGGCAAAATGAAGAAAATGTTTCAAGAAAGAGGGAGTGATTATTTGTGTCAGGTGCTCTTGCCAGTTCAAGTAAGATGAATGAGAATTCACCATTAGGTTTGTCAATATAGAGATTTTGGAGCCTCACTGGAATGGATTCACGAGAGAATAGAAATTAGAGATGTTGATATAGACAATTTATATAAGTCTTGAGGTTTCTTTGCTTTTCAAAGATGGATTTATAGCATGTTTATATGTTGATGGGAATCAATGCAATCATGAGGGAAAAGGAGAATTCACTGCACAATTCTCTTGAACAAGCCATCAGAACAGTTGCCCTTAAATTGTAGTAGTAGGGACAGAATAATGAGCTAGGAGACAAGTGGTGGAAACCATTGGAAGTTTTCTTAGTCTGTTATTCTCAGCAAAATAGTAAATGCCATATGGGAAAATTCCTAGAGCCTGAAATTAAATAATTTGTGCTGTTATCTTTCCAAAATATAATTTTCTTATTAAATCTCCTTATCCTACAAAGTCCAGCTCTGGTCTAGCTTGCTTTAAACCATAATGATCTTTCTTTTTCCAACTAACTCCAGATTATTTGAACTACACATCTGTCTCTTAGCATGTTGGTTGGTTATTTTTTCACTTTTAATTCATTTATTTTTGTCTGAAGTGCTTAGCAATATTGTAATCACTTGATTTTAGGGTCAGTGTTAATATCTCCTGGTCTCTCTGTATAGGATCTACCTATATGGTGCTAAATAGCTTTGTTTCATAAAGGCTCTGAGCTTGGCTATAAAATGTTTTTACAGTTCCATTATCTTGTGGGCCTCCCTGGTGGCACAGGGGTTAAATCTCAGCGCTGTCAAGCTAGTGCCAGCCACTGCAGCATGAGTTCGATCCCTCGCCAGGGAGCTGACCCACATGGTGCAGCAGACTTCTTCTGTCTCAGCCTCTGTTCCCCTCAGCAGTATATTTCAGTAGATCTGCCTGTCTGCTCCCTAATCTGTCTCTGATTAATGCTCTCACCGCCCCCATACCTCTAGCCTAGATCCCAGTTCTTGCATGCATAAAAAAACTAAACCTTTCTAAAAAATTATCTTATTAATCTTTTTTCCCCAAAGATTTATTAATCCACTTTTGAAACAATTTACATGTTTCTTTTTTCTTTTCAGGTTCAGGATTATCTAAGGAGATTTGAAAGTATACCAGATATGCTTGAATTGGATCACCTCACAGTTTCAGGAGATGTCACATTTGGCAAAAATGTTTCTTTAAAGGTATGCTATGATGAAAATTACAGTTATTACCACTTCACAAAACAGGTTTCATTTTAGTCCTTAATCTATGTTTATTTAAGTAATAGTTTTTAGTCTTTACCAGTTGTTTATACACATTTTTTAACAAGTAATTTACCATACTATTTAGGTTTAATACTGTCTTCCAGAGATATACAACACAGTTAAAATCAATTATAATTGTTGTATATAGGAATGTTGTGGAATATAGCATTCAAATGGAAAGAAAACACTAGTAATTGAACTACTACAATTTTATTGAAATATGACAGTTGTTAAAATAGCATTGGCTCTCACTCAAGATGACTATTTGGATCTGAATGGAGAAAAAGACAACTTATTTATACTGGATGTAATCTATTTGTGTTAAAGTAATCTGTTATCAGTATAAAGATTATTTTTTCACATTACTGTAGTACTTGGGTACTCTGAGTATTAGTCCAGCCTAGCATAACAAAGAGGAAGGGCTATGGATATAAGTATTAAAGCATTAGAACCAAAGATCCAACAGTTTCTTTCTAATCAAGTATTTTTTTAAAAATCCATACCTAGATGTCATATGCCTCCTGTTAAAACTACTTAAATGAAGAGCTTGGAAAAAAAAAAATATATATATATATAAAACTTTATTGCCAATATGGCCTCATCTAAATAGTCTTACTTAAGACATGCAAAATATATCAGTAAACTGTTCTCTGTCTATATATATATATATATATATATATATATATATATATATATATATAAACACCCAAACAGATATATATAAATATAAACCAAGCACCATTTGGTTTCTTTGAGAAGGCTGGATAATGATGGTGACCTTGCAAGTAGTTCCTTGAAAGGACCAACCGTGCTGTGGCATTGGGTCCACTTCCTATTCTCGGTACCACCTCTGTCTGCTAAGGAAGCAAGGAATCTAGAACTGCTGCCAGGACTGTTACAGAAAGACCTATTGTTAACAGAAAGACGATTTTCTTTAAGATATTCTTTATTTTTCACTTTTTTTTAAACATTTTATTTTTTTTTAAAGATTTATTTATTTATGCATACAAGAACTGGGGTACAGGCCAGAAGTGTGGAGGGTGAGAGGATTCACCAGAGACAGAGTGGGGAACAGAACAGGCAGACTGACTGAAATACACTGCTGAGGGAAGCAGCGGGCGAGTGAGCAGAGGTCTGCTACTCCATGTGGATCACCTCCCTGGTCGGGGATCCAACTCGTGCTGCAGTAGCCACGGATAGCTTCATAGTGGTGTGTCTTAACCCCTTGCACCACCAGGGAGGCCCCTGTTTTTCACTTTTAATATTATTTATAATTACTTTGCTATAAATGGAATGCTACATAAACTCGATAAATATAATAAAATAAATTGTATCTCAGCTGCAGTTTCAAGTATACGCTTACCTTTTTTTCCCCACCCCCACTTAGGGAACAGTTATCATCATCGCAAACCATGGTGATAGAATTGACATCCCACCTGGAGCAGTATTAGAGAACAAGATTGTATCTGGGAATCTTCGTATATTGGACCACTGAAATGAAAAATACTGTGTGCACTTTATACTAATTTGGGGCTAGTTTCTTACAATGAAATGTTCTAAAATAGGCAGGTACTTTACTATGTTACTGTACCCTGCAGTGTTAATTTTTAAAATTTTCTGCAGTATGCTTTTAGTTTAAGAAAAGCACAGATGGAAGCAATATTTTTCTTCTTTGAAGAGGATCCTAAAAGTTCATCTTAAAGTGCAATATCGTTGAATCTTAAAACTGGGGCAACTCTGCTGGAAGATCTAACAGAGGCCTCGATGATGGTCACTTTGAATTGCTCATGTTTTCAAAAATAAAGCTGTGAAGCAGTACGTGTACACTTATACCTTTCAATGCTAACTTTATGAAATGGTGAAATGAAATGGTTTACTTTTGCTAAAATTACTATATCAGTTGGAAGATTTGCTCTTGAAATATTTACTCATTGCCCAATTACCTAATAAATCCAGTTTTTGCATTTCTAAGAATCTTAACCATATCATTATTTTTATAGGAATTAAACTTGAAGCTATTCAGTACCTTTCATCTAATTCTAAAGCTGGGATGCCTGCCATGTTTTCCACAGACTCTCCATTTATTGAAACAAAGTGGTGTTTCTTTTCTAAGCTGAAGGGGATGGCATAGGCTGAGGTAGGGGGCATTTCTTTCACATCCTTTTTCTCTAGTATAGTGGGCGGGTTTATATCTTTATAAAAAGTTCTCTTTCTTTCACGTTTCATTTCTTGAGACTTGCTGTTGTCTCTGAAAAATATTATGGACAACCTTCTAAGTCAGGTCTGCTGGTAGTTCAACTGGTGCCTTTTCATTAAGAATCACATTTTCCACTTCTTCCATACTTGCATAGGTAGGCTGCTTGCTTAAAGTTTACTGCATACTATTAAAAAAAAGTTGTCTTTTAAAGTCTGGTAATTTTTTACAGCTTTATTTTAGACAGTTTAAGAACCAATGACATACCTCTGTAATGATAAAGGAAAGAAAACACCCAGGCTTTCCTTTTAGGAAACCAAAGAGCACAAAATAAGACTGTTTCATAGTACATTATCACCACAGGGTTAGGCACTCTGACAGGGTTAGGCAGATTCCTGGTGTGAAGTGAGGCACAGGCACTTTCATTTGTAGAGTGCTGCTTATTCTAATCTTGAAGGTAGGTATTATAAAAGTCTTTAAGTAACTACTTATCATCTTGTGTTTCTGGCCCAACATAGCAACTTATATTTTAGAAGTACTGTTTCTCCCTGGTCTTTGTTCATATACACACCCAAAGTAACTTAAAAACAAGAACACAAGGGGCCCACACTTCATGTTATCTAAATGTTAAAATGAGAACTCATGAACAGGCAGAATACATGATTAAGTATTCTTACCTTTGCTAGAAATAAAAAGCCCCCCCTGCCAAAATTCACCAACGCTTCATAGATACTTTTATAAAAATAGTCATTGACCTATATAGCCTTTCACATAACACTTCTGAAAATTATTTTTATTCGAAGGTGCATAAATAAATGCCAAAATCTTTGTGATGAGCCTTTCAAGTATTTAGACTGTTCTGAAGGCTTTCCCCAGTTAACATATGATGGTAGTAGAAAGATTGACTACAAGACACACAAAGCCTCAAATTCGACATTGTTCACTAAAACAAAAACTGAATTTCTAAATCCAAGCAATCAAAAGATGTTTATTTTTTATAGAAAGATCTGTAAAAAAATAATTTTTCAAACAGCTTTACTTTCATAGAGAAAACTTTCTACAGAGGTTGACTAAGATTTTAATATTTTAAATTGTACCATCATTAAATAAGGTGGGACACCATATGAATTTCATTGCACTGGAAGAAATGCAAAGCATTTTTTAATATAAAGTATACAGAGCATTCTAGTCAACTACAGCTGTGTTACAGCTATGTGTTCTTTTGGATTTGGTCCAAAGAAACCTGAGTCTGTTTCCAGAGAGAATGAAAAATGTTAGACACCTGATCAGTTACTCCTCACTGAAGGAAGCACAGAAATGGCATTCCTTGTAGATCCCACTGAATCCCAGTTTCCCAACACTGATACTTTCCTTTTCCCCTTACCCCACCCCACTTTGGGTTCCAGGTTCAGTTCTTGAATCACAGGCATCCATATTTTCTTCACAAACATACACATCCCATGGTCAGATGAAGTACCCAATTTTCCTGTATGTCATATCACCTCTTCTGTTCCCAGATCTCAGCCATATTTAGGTCCAAATCTTTAAGGCCTTTTAAGGCTTGAAGATTTCCAGTGTAAAAAGCTACATCTGCTGTGACCAACCTAAACATTGAAGAGAAAATTAGTTTTAAATCTCACACTTAAAAAAATTACTTTGAAGTAACAGATTACAATACTGTATATGTTTTAGGGGTACAGGTTCACACCTCTTCAAATGTATGTTTAACCTGCCATGCCTACCACCAGAGCACCAGTATTCCTCTACATGGTCCTAAGGGCTCCTTCCCTTCTCCTCCCGTCTGGTAGCTTTAGTTCTACAATCAGTAAAGCTCCCACTTTCTATTCAGATGATTAAAGTAGCAATGCTTACAGAATCAGAGCCCTACCATCATTGCTAAATTATTATTTGTAATTCAGATTTCTTAGGGACCAAATGTGAAGATTCCCCTTAGCAGGATTCCTGTTACCACATAGTTAGACCATTTAATGTTCTATTGCAACAAGCATTTTGAAAAGGAATAAACCAACACAGTTTGGAGATAGTCTTGTAATTGTGCCCAATATAACTGCTTAAAACAGCATCAAACAGAAAAATAGTTTAAGATATTTGTTAATTGTCATTAAAGTATACATACATGTGACAAGTGTAATTAAGGGAAAGACAAGGTTTCTGTATGTCATCCCAAGGAGTTAAATGAAGGCTGGGAATTCAAGTTTAAGTAATACTGGAAATGAAGTTTGATTATGATAATTATATTAACACTTGATGAAAAAGGAAAGAATTATACTTTTGAGTAGAGAGACGTCACATACACCTGAAAGAATACTCCCAGAAAGAATGCTAAGATAAACAGAAATATCAACACCCCATTCATAAAAAATAGGAGCTGTCAGGTTTAGAAACTGGCAAATTAGATGTATATTTTGATGGATGTGGCCCAGAGAGAAACAAATAGGAGACTGATTTATTTAGTAGTTTTTAATAGAGAAGAAGTACTCTGACTTCAGTTTTTTAATGAATATATAAATTCTAGGTTGCTGGACTACATGGGGGTAAACGTGTTGTAAGCAACCTTAATATTCAGTCTAATTTATAAATGTTCTAATTTGTAAATACCTTTGGACTTAGGTACTTGAAGTTTCACCTGTTTTCACATGACAGTTTAGTAAGGACCGTATTTTTCATCTGCAACTCATTCAGGGTGTCTTTTGAAAAGTTTAATTTACACTATACTTTCTGTGAAAAATGTGGTCAGTAAGTATACTGAACTGACAGCAACAGTTCAAAGCAAATCCTTTCTAAGGCAAGCTCCCCACATTAAAAATTAAACAAAATTAACATAAATCTCCATTTAAAAATATCAAGTTATATTTAATAGACACACTGTTTACAGTTCAATAGAAAGTGTATGTTTACATGAAAATTGAAAAAAAATTGACAAAAGAACACAAAAGAAAAGCATATATAACCATGAGAGCATGTACAATTAAGATAAAAACAACCAAGAGAAAAACAGGGAAAGAACACAAACAGGGAAAGATGAGAAAATCTGAATGACCAATAAACATGAAACGATGACAAACATCAGGAAATGCAAATCAAAACAAGATATTGTCTCCCGGCATGAGCAACAATGAAAACTTTAACAGCAAATGTTGGCAAAATGTGGGGAAATGGTGGAAGTATAAACTTGGAACAGCCACTTTGGAGAACATTCTGACAATAACTAGTAAAGTGGGAATGTACTTGTGATCTGATCACGCCCTAAACAAGTATAGGGATGTTCACTACAGCGTGTTTGTATTGGGGGGAAAAGTAATATAACCTTGAAATCTGTCACTAGGGGAAATGTATACATTAACATGGTTTTTCATGTGAGAGAATACACCACAGCAGTCAAAGAAAGGGCAACATCTGTGTCAACAGAGAAATCAATTCAGTGGAAAAAAGCTACAAAGTACCATGTAAGTAAACAAATTTATAAAATAGAACCACACATTTTCCTTAGATATAAAGATAATAAATAAGAGTTGAAGGATGTAGACTAAACTTACTAAAAATATTGTCTAAAGATTAGGGAAAAGTGAATGGAACTGGAGTTGGGGTGAAAGGGGTACTTCAGCTTCATTCAAAATGCCATGTTTTTCATATTTTTCAAGTAAAACTGAAAAATGTTTATGATCAATTCTCAGTAGCAGGAATTCAAGTATTTTATTCTTTTTATGTCTGTTTTAAATAACTTAAAATACAGAAAATTCATTGGAAAAGTACAGGGCTAAGAGGAAAAGGGACAAACTGCTTAGTGGGTACAGGATTTCTTGGAGTAGTGAAAATCTGTTGAACTATCAATAGGTAGAGGTGGTGGATGCACAACTGTGAGTATGCAAGGGCCACTAAATTGTTGATTTTTAAAACCACTTTATGGACAGAATCAACATGGCGGGGGGGGAAAACGCTGCGAGTAAGACCTCCCATAAAAAAAAAAAAAGTGAATAGGGAGGAAAAGCGGCAGGTCCCTGTGAGAACTGGGACATGGGAGAGAAACGGGAGACTGGCAAATTGCCCAAAGAAGAAAGTTGCCATAAAAGAGACTAGAAGGGAGGAAAGCTCAGAACCCTGCTACCTACCCTCCCCCTCCCACAAAGTCGGCACTCTGACCAACAGAAAGGAGGAAAACAACAACAACAACAGCAAAACTAAAACAACCAATAAGAACAAACTACGCATCAAACAGGACTGTGAGTGGAAAGGAACAATTTCAGGCACCCCGCACCCTGTGAGCTGGAACTGTGGAGAACAGTGCAGGAATTGCTGAGGAGGTGAGCAAATTGCTCCAGGCGCCATTAGAGAACAAAGACTCCCAGAGACCCACAAATAGCCCAAGGCCAGCCGGTAAGCTTGTGGGAAAAAGCAGCTCGCTTGAAAATCATACACGGATGGCAGCTGCGCAGGTCCCCGCGTCTGCGACCTAGGCTTGCAGGGAGAAGCATGGGAGCTCTCATTGAGGTGAATGTCCCTCACTAAGTAATCAGAAACCAGGCGCCCGGACTTGGGAGCGGGGTGCAAAAGGTGCCATTTCTGCGGACACTGAACTGGGCTACAGCCCAAGTCCTGGATC